CCCAGCTCTGCTGAACCGCTTGCAGGGTCGTCTTTGCCCCTTGCTGAGCGTGAGGGTCGGCTTCCCATTTTCCCTCACTGGGTTTATGCAGCTTTGGGCTGTGCCGACTGCTCTCTTCCTAAAGGTGTCTCCTTAGTGCCTGTGGAACTGTCCTCTCCCACCGCGCCCTTTACACCAGTGCCCAGCATTTCCCAAACGTAATCGTCTTTCAGGGGCACAGTTAGGTCAACATTAATTAAAACTTAATTAATTTCTTAATTTTCATCAAGAATATCAGAAAAGTAGACAAGGAAGTGACTCAGGCTGCGTCCGCCGTGAGGAAGTGGCCCAGGTGACCAGCGTCTGACTCTGAGTCGCTGGGCTCAGGGAGAAACTGACTAAGGACGGACCAGGGGGTTTACACCGACGCTCATGTGCTCCTGACGCTTCATTCCAGTAGGAGTGCGGGCCCCAGGCCACAGGGTCAGCAGGTGTTTTTAGCGCACGGTGGGGCTGCTCTGTGGTGGAAATTCCTGTGAACCCCTAAGCAACCCAGACTTCGTGCGGCCCAGTGACTACATGGACGTTTCTTTTATGTCTAGACTCATAGCATTTCAATATATATATTTAATATATCTTTATTGACTTCAGAGAGACGAAGTGAGAGGGAGAGAGAGAGAGAAACACCAATGATGAGAGAGTCATGGATCGGCTACCTCCCACCCACCCCCACTGGGGATCGGGCCCGGGCCTGTGCCCTAACAGGGAGTGGAACTGTGACCTGGTTCATGGGTCGACGCTCAGCCACCGAGCCTCACCGGCCTGTCTCAATCCATTTGTTTGCCGTATCATCTCTGTTTTCACCAACACTGAAAAGGGAAGCCTGGCCATCCCGTGCAGCTCTGCACAGCCCGTCTCCCACCCCCTCCCCAGCTCCCCAAACCTGGCTCAGTCCTGGGACTTCGAGGTGCACCGTTAGGAAAATACCAGGAACCACTCGGCAGGCAGTTTGGAAGGACAGGAGAAAAGGTTTCATATTTCATAAGAAACAAATGGAAGAGCAGCTCTCTTTAGGCTGAACACTGGTTTTAGAGAAAAAAAATAGAGATAAATTAAAATCATTAATAACAAAAGCAGTTGAATCTAAGTTAAATGATGTGCTCACCTAAATGTTTAATCTTTGGGGAGGAAAAACTTGATAATTTAAAATATAAAATGAAACTAAATTTCATGATTAAGGTAGGAGACAGGTGATCTTTCAAAACACATGCCAACTGTCAGATTCAAATCACATAGTTTCTGTGGCACAATGAAATGAAACTAATTCAGAGTCTCCGAATGAAGGGTCACGGCATCAGCAGTGGACCCGATGCAGCATTAGCTACCTCTTTCTGCCCCAGCCCTTGTCCCCGTCGTGGGAATCCGTGCTGATAGGGGAACTTTGGCTTTGGAGGCCAATACTACCTAGTCACATTTGGTCATTAAAAGGTCGCATTTTGGTAATGAAATGCCTGGCCTGGTATAATAATAAAACCTGTGGACTTAATGTTTCTCCCTTCCCCAGTTCAGGCCTGCAACAAAGGGGGGACTTTCTTGAAAATCTGTTCTCTGCCCCTCCTCTCGTCCTCCATTAAAATTGTGGACTCGAGCGGAGCCTGTTTCTAGTAGCTTCTTTCCAAGCTCCTATCTGGACTGCTTTAAAATCTCTCTCAAAGAACAACTTGTACACTAAGCATCTTCAGGGGTTTTTATTTGGGGGAAGGGGTGGGGAGGCGGTTCAGGTGGCCCAGGTGGCGTCTTTCCAGTGTCTGGGCCTGAATGAGTCCCACCTTTGGATCCGGATTTGCAGGGCTCTTGACTGAGAAGCCCACACTGCTGTGCGGTGATGCTGGGACCACCTAGGTTGGGGAACCACCCCTTCCTACCCCCTTTCCCCCTGGCTTTCTCTTGTATTCTGGTGTCCCCAGAAGAGGAGCTCTGCTTGTGCTGGGTCCCCGCCCCCCAGCGTGGCTCACACCTGGTGGGCAGGTGCAGCCTGGGCTTGTGTGGAAGTCAGTTTCACTAACCAGGCTATGCTGCTGGGGTTACAGAAACTACGGGGTGAAGGGGTTGGGGCGGGGGCGGTGGTGGTGAGGTGGTTTGGAAGGGTGGGGATTATCATGGGGCCAGCTGGTCTCAAAATGGTGTTTGCACAGGGGAAGGTCCTTGGGACTTACGAACCTGCCTCCCGCGTCATCTCGCACTAACAGACACACTTCAGTGAGAGCTTTCAGTCTTTTGACCCAACCCCTGATCTATAACCCACACTTCCCCTTTGTGTCTACAGACTCATCAAGAAAACCTGTCAAATGCCTTGCTGACTCTTCCCATAGGGTCACCCCCCGCTTATCCTTGGGGGACACCTTCCAAGATTGCCACTGGATGCCTAAAACCTCGGATAGTAACTAACCCTCTGTATACACGATTTTTTCCTGCATATACATACCTACGATAAAGTTTAAGTTATAAAATAGGCTCAGTAAGATATTAATAATAATAACTACTAATAAAATAGAACAATGACAGCAAGGCAGTGTAATAAAAGTTATGTGAACGGGCTGAACGGGATGAGGTGGGATAAGAACGGGGTGAGCCTCCGAATGGGGGGAAGACAAGCAAATGGGTTCAACGCCCCGTCAGACACTGGAGTGCGGGCAGGGGTGCGCACAGAAGGCTGCGGGACAGACGGCCGCGCGCACTGTGCCCTCCAGACGGAGAGGTCAGGTGCTGGAGCCGGCTGGACAGGCGGGAACGGACGCCCCGGTGAAGGGCCGGGAGGAGGCAGAGCGCGGCCCGGGTGCAGGAGCTGCGAACACCCCCGGCCCGCGGGCGGGGCAGCCAGAGGTGCCCCTGCAGGACCGGGTGGAAGCCCGACCTGGGGGCTGCGGGGGGCAGGGAGGGAGCGGGGAGCCCGTGCACCGCGGGTCCAGGGGCGGGCAGTCAGAGTGCCCCCTGCAGGACGGGGTGGAAGCCTGACCTGGGGGCTGCGGGGGGCAGGGAGGGAGCGGGGAGCCCGTGCACCGCGGGTCCAGGGG